ATCTGCTCCGCATCTTTGGAACTCTCTACCTGTCCAACTTCGAAATTGTAACAACATTGATACCTTTAAATCTGAACTCAAAACCTATTTTTTCCGGCAACATTGCGAATAATATGTGACATATTGAGGGAGCCAGGCGCCTTTGAATGCTTTTGCAGATAAATGGCGCTATACAAATGCTGTTCATCATCATCGTTCATCATCATATGTTATTTGTTATTCAGTTATATTATATTAGGAAAAATGCAGAAATCAAATCAAATCAAATCAAATCAAATAGTTCAATGTTTTATTTTATAATCCTTTCCTTGTGCATTGTCGCCCTCATCGGGCAAATTAAAGACTAGACCTGTTAATGACGTAATCCTACGTCAGCAAATTAACGACTAGTGTGTAACGATAAGACACGTGACGTGTTCAAGACTTTGTGCACTCTCTAGAGAGGGAAGGGGGTTACATGTCATAGGGAAATAGGAGAGTGGAATCGATAGTCTCGTTTTTCCCCTCAGGGGAGAGGCAAATCGGATCGGGAAATGGTAATGATGATGATGATAAAGAGATGATGATAATGATATGATAATAATAACAATTCAGATTATAATAATAATGATAATGATACTAGTAATGATAATAATAACTTAAATATAACATTTTAGGGACCCTTTCATGGGGGCAAGACAGATTATTTTATAAAAGAACATGTCATTATTATTATTATTATATCTATCCAAGATAAAAGGGTGTACATAGACTCGTTCATATTCAGGTTATTGAATTTCGGGGCTATTTTTCATGAGCATGGTATGATGGTACACAACATATGATATTGACGTTGTTTCATTTACGTAAGTTCGATATTCAAGATGATAAAAAGCAGAACAATATATTCAAGAAATTGTAGTAATATGTTTTGAATTGTAATGCCAGCTATAGGCATAATATGTAGCTTTATGCATGTACACTTAACGGTCAAATCGTCAGAACTAAAAATGACAAGAAGTAAAACAGGAGACATTTCATTTGTGCCCTTACTGTTTTTATTTGTATTTATATTATACTTCTTTTATAGTCCTGTATTTGCTCTTCTTGTATCAAAAGCAAGAAATCTAGAATTACTTCGCATATCCTTTCGTCTTTTATATGAAAAAAACTGATGTTACAATTTCACACGATCGACCGATCGACTTTGATGACGCTTCATCCATATTATTATTATATAGTATGTACATATATTTTTTTATACAGAAAATAAAACCAAACCAATACTTAACTAAGATAATTTATCCACAAATGAGCTTTGATTAATGCTAATGTGCCCAATATCGAAACTAACATCTCAGATGTTAATTCATTAGTTCATCGGTTTCTCACTACACTCGGTATAATTGACTCTAAATTAGTGTTTGATGACACCTTTGTTAATATAATACTAGATGTTTACATGCAGCAAGTCTGTCCTTGTCAAGAGAATGAATGACTTGACTTTAGTTGTGTTCATGCTATAACTTGTAGGCACATTCAATACACGAATCACGCAAAACATGATAGCAAAGAATTTCGAACAATCATCTCAACTGAATACCATTTGTTTGAATTATGGGGACTACGTGATGTGTTAGTGTAATAATAGGGCCATATATCATGATTCAAAGACACATTAGTAGTCATGGTTTGAAAACTTGCTTCAAAGTTTTCCTGTCACCAGACTCCTTTTTCTTCTAAAATTGGCTCTAACTGTTTACACATAGGCGCCGGAAGTGAGGTGGCAGGGAGATGTGTGTGTGTGTGGGGGGGGGGGGGGCGCATTTTTGCCCCCCCCCCTCCCCCCAAAAAAGCAGTAAAGGAGTAAAGATGGGTGTATATTTATCCTAAAAGAACATAACAATAATAAAAACCTGAATTAAATCACATACAAAATTCAATTCAAAGAAAAGGAAAGTTAACATGAATTTAATTTCCTAAATATTGCGCATGCCACCTATATTTATCAATGGAGGTTTTTATAATAGCGATACGCGCATCGTGGACATATTGTGAGAGAATGGGAAAGCGTGTGTGTTTTTTGTTGTAGGGGTGAGAAGACATCAGCCCCTGAACGCTGGCGTACTGATGATGGGGGGGGGGGGGGTTATTTCTTATTCGATACCAGTGATTTACAAATGTTGCTGTAATGACATGATTTTCCAGTATTTGTTCCCATTTTGTTTGTAAGTCATATGCGTTTGTTGGAAAATTCGAAATTCCCAAAATTACAGTCGGGCGAAAAATATGCTTATTTAGAAGCCCTTATGTCATGGTCTGCAAAACGGCTGGGCTCGGGGGCTCGAGCCCCCTCACTTTTTGAAAAAGTACATTACAGAGAAGAACAAAGAAAGAGAGAGAAAAAAATAAGTGACCTGCCAATGTCACAAATGAGGTATCAAAATAAGCTCATCTGACCGAGAAGGTGGAGAGATGACCTAATACCATACATGGGAACGGCCGCTTGGACCAGGACAGTTAGAGACAGAAGAGAATGGAAATGTTATGAGGACTGCTTTGTACAACGTCTGGATGAACTATAGCCTGATAGATAGATAGATAGATAAGGATGAAAGACAATTATTGCCAATTTGAAGACGAGAAGAAGGAAACCAGATCACCTCACCTCGTTAACAAAATTCTGTCTTGATTCAATGGAACACGAGCGCAAAGATTTAAAATAAAAAAAAAATTAAAAAAAAGGTGCAATGTCGGTACCCCCAAAGAAACCCAAAGAAAAACGTTCTGATTATGAAATACGTCATTGCCATGTTTCAACATTTTAATTGGTGACACAACAGGCGATTAAAATCGTATAAGTTTGATTTGTATTAAGCCTTAATGACTACGAAATAGATGAATTGATGACTTGCATCCCACTCCTTGAAACTCTTAAATCACTGTTTCCTGCAATGAACCATCAAGTTTAGCCTTGATGATGGTCCTTTTACCCTGATCAGTACAGTAGAACATGTCATTCATGTAATCACAATCCACTCAGACAGGTTCATCGACTCCGGTCACAGGCAGCTGACGAAAAGGCGACGAGAAGAAGTTCGAACCGCTTTTTGTCTTCAATATCCATGAGAAAGAATTTATCCGCTAAAAAGAAGACGATACGGGTCCTAAAAGTTAAACCATGATGCCCGATCCGCGGAGTGCGTCCTTTTTAACGTGTTTCCCCTGCGCTATTGACGTTTATTAGCGCATGTGTCCTTTATATGACACACTGTGTTCTTTGTTCAGATTGCATTCACTTTTTCTACCACGTTACTCAACAACTGCGGCAGTCATTAGGAACTTTTCGATTGCACGACGAGAACGTGGACTGTGTGTGGCATCCTTTTAAGGCACTGTCACTCTGCCAGTGCCTTAAAAGGACGTCACACGTGACTGCCAGTGCCTTAAAAGACAGTCACGTGTCCACGCAAATCGAAAATTCCCTATTGATGCAGTTGTGCGTCAGCAAAAATATGGACTTTTCGATTTGCATGTCGACATAGTAGACCGCTACATGTGGCAGTGTGTTAAAAGGACGTCACGCGTAGCAGTCTACTATGTCGACGTGCAATCGAAAAGTACATTGAATGTGTGTGTGTGTACCTTTTTTCTCTCTCATCTGGCTTTCACTGTTCATTTTTATGTCGCCAGGCCATGGTTTTGCATTTTAGGGGGAATAATCTTGACCATAGGTGTTACCCTTTTTTAAGGTTCTAGTTCAGTTTATGAATGGTAGCGTCGAACCTTAAAGAATGTTGTGATCATAAAGGGTGGCTTATCTTTACCAAGTACAACTCCAGAGTGGATTTAAGAGGTCAAGCCACCCTCTCCCCAAACCAAAAGATAATTTTCTTGATATGTGGATTAAAGTGAGTCGAATGAGGAAAATGGATGCAAAACAAATTAGATCTAGATTAGATTCTAGATCCGCTCCTGCTTGGCCCCTATCTGTAAGTAATTTACTTCAAGTACTTTGTTGAAAAAAGAATATACCCAATAAACAAAACACTAAAAAGTAACCTCTTTTGGGAGTGTATTTTAAGTGATTTTAGAGTATGGTGCCTTTTGAACTAAAATTAAACGTTATCGACACGTGCTTTCATTTAAACAAAAAATGTACTCCTGTTCACGTTTTCATCTAACCTAAAAACCACCAATTTATCACGCGACTGGAGTAACGTGATTCCACTTACCTCTGTAAATCACGTGTTTATGACCAAACAACCACTTGACCAAGCAACGAGTTTTTTGTCCGTTGTGTTGTGAGAAGGCCCATGAGATCTCGGTCCGTGACCTGTCGGTCTTGTGGACCATCGGTCTCTTAGTCTTAGGCATTCTGACAACTTGGGCGAACCCTCAGAAACATTATCAAACGGACTGTCGGTCTAGTGGGATAGCGGTCTTACATGGTTCTATACATGACCGTGCCTTTCTGAAGAACCAAATTCAGACAGAAACAACGGATCCTAGTATCTTGAGTAAGACGCCTTGTCCAGAGATGCAAGCACTGAGCAAGGATCGACCCTACGACCTCCAATATGAGAATCAAAAGCCTCTATCAATGATGCCAGGGTGCTCCGACATGGAAGGTGTTGAGTTGTATAGACTTATGAGATATATGCTACCGTCTAATCAATCGCAAAATCGTATGAAATTAGTCTTGCCGTTTTTCACCTCTGTGAGGGGTATCAAATTATAATGACCTATTTTCAGCTTCTAAATAGAAGTACAAATATAGTTCGACTAAATAGCATTAACTACATTGTATCTATTAAACTGCTTGGTTTTTGTAGAATAACGATTGTCTATCATCTCTGTCCATTTCTTATTATACTGCATAACGCTGCCAGGAGCTTTCATTGGTAATATACACTGTAGACAATTGTACAATACGGTTACCGTGTTTCTCGCTCTATCGGGCACATCCGCATAATATCTACAGTTTATTCATATCTGAAAAAATATGATTAATGCCCAAAATATGAAGCAGACAATACATAAGGGTTGAGAAGACAAAAAAGAGTTCCGTGATAGGCCCATCCCACAGCTGAGGGCTTTTGTTCAATTCGGTATAGCCGCTTAAGCATAACAGCGTGTACACCCTTGTATTTGCGAAAGCAATGGCAAGAGTTCACACTATGCTGGCAGAGGATGAGTAAAATCTAGTCCTAACTTAAACTACTCCTGGTGGACTCTTTAAAACCATTTTAGGATAAATTTGTGGAACACTCAAGGAAGATTTATATAGCGGCTGGGATAGATTTATCAAACTGGTCCTGGGTATATTTGATATCCTTATACAGGCGTAGCTCCACGAAGATTCTTTGAGATTCATACAAGAACAATCACTACGAACATATACTAGAGTCAACGAGGAAGTAATATTCAGATTACTGGTGTACACATACTGGAGGGAAGAGAAAGACGGCAAAGATGGCGGGAAACGTGATGACACTTCTATCATTTATGATCGGAATCTATTCCTTTATCGTCTTATGTCAGGTTCAAAACAGCAACGCGTACCCATCGGGAGCTGTTACATCGGCCTGCGTTGATATGATACCGAATCATGGATCCAGTTCTCAGACGTCAGTCAGTCCCTACACCATCTCCGTGAGTCCTGCATTCTACCAACCAGGAGAGCAGATGACGGGTAAGTTCTCTTTGCCTCACGTCATTTTAAAGGATAAATTCATGCCACTTTGTCCCATACGTATTACCGACCACTTATAAGACCTTAGTACAGTCAAACTTGTCTATTGAGGCCACCAATGCCGATTAGTTTATAATTGGTCACTGTATACAGGTGGCCTTAGTAAACATGTTCTGTAACCCAAATTCTTTCTCAAGGAATACACAATACACGGTCACTACAGACAGGAGATATAATATAGAGGAGTCCACTGAGATAGGTTTGTATATCTGATCGTTAAATTGATTTAAATGCCATACCAGAGCAGAGATCAGACCAAATCGAACTCGCTGTTTACTCAATGCACGTTAATCACATGCAACAATGATAATATCTTCTGATCCCTTCACGTATTATTATGAAACCTCCCCAGGCATGTAAACCGTTCACATTCAAAATTAATATAGGAATAAAGTCACGAGACAAAACTAAAATGTAAATTTGGCATGCGCCTAAAAATACTGAAGTACTGTAAATGGGTTATCTAAGTTAAACCCACTTTTGAAGCTCCTTATTAAATCCTTTTAAAAATTTAATTGTGCCTCATGCTTCAGTGCTTTATTATTTAAAATGATGGAATGTAAATCTGCTGTTACAGAAACGTGTTTCAGTCGACAGGATAACCTTAAATTATTTTAAACAGCTTACTATAACTTCTTGTCTCATGATGTTTCAGTTCTCTCTGCTCACTTGTCTACTGTACCATTTCACACACGTAAGAAGCATAAGGTGTTAAACTCAAATAGCGAAACAAAACTGAAAGATTACTAAAAATCCAAGACAAGAAAGAACATTTCTGATGATCAATTTCAAAGAAATTGACAACAGACTTTCATATAAAAAAGGAAGCATCCCTGAAAAGCTTTATCCATTTTGTATCACTCAATGAGCAGGGTTACCTTAAACAAGGCATGCGAATGAAGGCAAGATTGTAATCAGAACGAAGAGAATATTATACACTTTACTTTGGGTTTGAGTTGGTGTTAACACTTTTCTCCTTCAAATGCCTCATAATAAATGTAAATAAAGGAGCAATTGTTTGTGAATGAGATAACACACACATATAGCTTTTGACCCATATTCATTGCTTCAGCGCAAACTTGGTAAAAGAGGATTTTGACAATACTTTTTGAAAAGCCTGTTATTAAGTACTTCAGTCATTCTTGGCAGCACCATTATGAAAACTGTGTAATTAGCCAGGGTATTAATTCTTCTTTACAATTAACTATGATTCAAGGTCATACAGGTTATGACCTTTTTACTACAAAAGTTGGGTTAACTATTTTTTGATACGCACTGTATATCAACATAGTGATTAATTAAGAAGGTGGGATAACTATTTTAAACCGCTTTGAGGAAGAAAAAAAATCCGCATCAGATGAATTCATTAATTCGTGTAGTAACAGTTCATGGTCGATCGCACTGACAAAAGAGGTTCAAACGCATTTTCCATCGAGTTTTCTCTTTGGGGGAGAAAAAACATTTCCAAAGCTATTCATTGTCTAGTTTATTCGCTCGGTCGATCTTGTTCATTATTATCTATGAAAGGCTTCCAAGTAGTACAATAAATCAATGTGTTCAATGTCTTTAGCGCAGTACCCGGATGACTGACCAAGCTTGTTTTCGTATTGCTCAGTCATCCGGGAACTTCAACTATCGATATTGATATCATGGTGATATCACAAGAACACAAAGTCATTTTTTAAATTGAAAAATATGAAGAAAAAAATAAAATAAAAATATATTTATTTAATGAATTAAGTAAAATATTGTTATTTCGCTAGTTAGACTAATATAGACAATAATAATAGTATTGTATGGCTTTGTTTTCGTATGCTCTCGCCAAGACAATACTAGACTCGTCTGTGACTCGTCCAATATTGTCATAGCTCTAGCAATATTTATATTGACATACTATTTTTGCAACTATAAGTTATAGGGGGCTGCAATCTACAAGCCCAGTTTTTCAGCAGTCCCCTCCATGACCAACCTGTTTTATATGCCTTTGTACACTGTGGACCAATTACAAATATATTGTTAAGTTTCATTGTTTTACTATGTACAATGCAATCCCATGTACTTTATTTATTTTTTTGGAAATGGAAAAAAACGAAATGAAAACGAAATGAATATATTCTTGTATCACACTCACGTCCATCTAATATTATATAAGGGGCTTTTACTAACCTCGTGGCGTATCATGAATGTATGTCTGTCAGACAGAAACACAACAACCTTGATTTCAATAGATCGTTATGGAAAGCAAATAATCCTTTTTGTGGTTACGATTGGAGAAGTCAATGAGCCGTGCTCTCTGGCCTATTCAAGACGTTATTCCAAATGTTTCATTACGTGGCAGAGGAGAATAAATATATAATAGGTTTTCAAATCAACGAATATCATAGCAAATTTATTGACTAAATCGAACAGGAAATCAAAATTAAACAACGAAACCACTCCAAACCAAATATGGGTACATGGGACTAGAAAAAGGCCCGGGATGTCAAACTTTAGTCTAGGATCGTAACAAAATGCTATTTTTATCAGGGAAAATGGGAGCACCTCATGAATAATCATTTTATCGGGATATGCCAGATAACTATAAAGGTTAACATTCCACATTTGAAACAAGATCGGTGGGAAAGCTCACAAATTATCTTATGATAATAATATTAATGGTAATAATAACAATAATACATGTAGTAATAATATGTCTTGTGTACCCAGGATAGCCTCATCAGTATTAATACTGTTCTTTCTGAGGGCTTTGCAATCATATTATTACCTTGGCTTCACCTTGAACTTTAACAAAAGTCATTCTTTACACCGAAAACGATTATTTTTGTCACAATATTCACAATGGTTATATCTATCGTTTAGAGACACCAGCCTAAAGTAAGGCCTCACACAACAGTGTGTCCCGGAAAAAAAGCAAACCGGATTTTATGGCAGACATTCGTTATTACAACTTATAATTTCCTTGATGAGATATATATGTAAACAAAAAAAATTGTTTCTCTTCTTTAATTAGATTCACTACTTATCATTCATAATTCGCGCATGATTGTATTGAAACAATGAAAGTGGTCGTACCAACATTTATTTGCATGCCCAAAGTGCAAGTTTGAGTGAGCATTTAGGATAATAAAAGTAATCATATACACATGAAGAAAAAAAATCACGTGAAATGTCGTAACCTTCTCTTTCGTATGACACCTCATGCAAATGAAATGAATGAGCTATTAAACAGTTAAAACGTTTTTGCCGGTTTCCCTTTTTTATAGACACTCTGTATAATTCATGCATCATGCTGCATTAGTCCCAGCTATGTGTTTTGAGATGAATTGTATTGTGTGCTTATTTTTCACTATACTGAAAATGAAGAAGAAAAAAAATCAGCTTTTTAAAAATAATTGCATCGGTATTGTTTTCTTTTCAGTCACAATTTCGAGGAACGCCAACACCCCAGCTTTGAAGGGTATTCTATTGCAAGTTCGTCGCACTGGCAACGATGAAATCATCGGTACATGGTCGGTGGCGGGCACCACGGGTTTTCAAACGCTGGCGTGTAACGGTGCTAATTCTGCAGTAACGCATACTAGTAATGGTGACAAACCGGCTTCTTTTCCATTGAACTGGACACCTCCTGATGTCAATGGAGATGATATCTATGTGACGTAAGTAGGTCTACAATGCAATACTTGCTCATTACCCCTTGTCATGTCCAGTAGAACTTATTTTGTGATTACCTAACTAGTATATCATTGCAATGTTCGCACATTTCAAGATGTGACGTACAAGACCATTGGAATTTCTTTATGTTGATTTTTCGGAAGTAGTTGTTCCCTTGTTCAATACGATATCTGGGCCCTGTATTACAAAGAGTTGATATTAATCGCAACTTATTTGCGATTGATACCGATCAAAACTATGTACATAAGAGATAGGCGATTGCAGACTTGCGATTGATTGGGGGGACTTGCGATTGATTTGGATCACTCGCAACGCTTTGTAAGACGGGACCCTGGTCCACTATTGAAGTTAAGAGGTCGGTTTTACGCCAAACATGAAATTACTCCGTATCCAAGATTCCGTCGGTTTGGAGTAAGGGTGGACGAGTCGATTTAGAGGTGTAGGTGAAATATTAGTGCAAAACATTGACAATGGGGCAATTATTGTCAGATAATTTGACATACGACCAACATTTCTCTAATCAAAATAATCTGCAACTAACGCCCTCTTCCGACAAGGCGCGGTACGGTCAAGTGCCTAACAGACAATATCAAAATATCACTCGCTTCATTAATACACAGTAGTTCATTGGAATGACAATTTTCCATGTGTTGTAGTGCATTTCTAGTATTTGGATTAATAGTGTGTTTATAAGCATCTTCAAATACTAAATTTACCCAATGAAAATTATTTGTTTTACTTAAAGCAATAAGTAAGATAATATGGACAATTATTGACGCCCTTCATTTACTTCTTAATGGAGAGGGAGGTTGCGATCTCATATTTTTACAAGAGATGGTTTCTTTTGTATTATTCATCTGCACTTTTAGGGCAACATTTGTCCAGACAATGCCAGTCTTTTGGGTTGCAGAGAGGACAAGCAATATACAACGTAAGTCATGTTTTATGTCCTGAATTTAAAACCACGAATCGCAGAAAGGTTAAACGATCCCGTGTTTATGAAACAAAGAAATGCTCAATTGGGAAGCGATAATTCAACGAGCATTTGATTTGTATGGTTTGAAATTAATCATGAGTGTTTGTTTGTTTTTGTGTTCCCTTTTAACTGTAAGGAAATAGTTATTTGAGGTAAAATAAAAATGTTCTTTCCTTGCATGTTTCACAAATTAGCATGTTTTTTGTGACAAGACAAACAAATTAACTAATTTTGGTGCCTTACGCACCCATTATTATATACGAATTATCACCAATCAATCATTGTATAACCTAGAAAGAAAATGTAGAAATATTATTTCGCTAATATTCTTTTATAGAATTGTTGTAGCACTTACTTTAAACACACCAATGAGTAATTTTGATAAAGTTTGGTACGTTCTGGGCATACAGGAGCGTCACTAGGCGAATGAAGGGGGGGGGGGGGTGGTATCGTCGAAAAAAGTTCCCAATATTTCAAGAAACAAAAATAGGTGACAACTAGTCGTCAGATTTTCTAAATTCATCGACAGATGTTCACATTTTCCTACTTAAGCAATAACGAAATGTACCTTTTAATTAACAGTTGATCTGTGCAAAACGTTCTTGTGAGTAATCAATTGCTCCGTAGTCCATGTTTGTATCGTCCTGAATCTTCTCTTTTATCCTTGCGAATATTAATCCCTGGTATACATAATTGCCTATGTAGTGATGACTCCTTGCGATTCGGATCCGTGCGTCAATGGAGGAACCTGTACAAACTCTGCTGATGATACAACCTACACATGTTCCTGTCCTCCCCCTTTTGCAGGACCCACATGTCAGACAGGTAACTTGCATTCCCCCCCCCCCCCCGGTCCCCAACAGAAACAAATCTCCTGTGTGCCCATGCCTTGAGCCATAATGCATGGCCGTACAGAGAATGTTCTTATGTTGGGGACCGGGGTAAAATGCAATGAATTATTGATAATTTATTGCATTTTCGTTGTGTTTTTTTTTATTTGTGGGATCTGCCCCCTACCCTAGCCCCTGCTGCGTACAGTCATGGTTTAGTGGCACAGCAATGGCCTCGTAACTGTGAGGCCCCACGATCAAAACCGTGTCGATGTGCTATATTAGTGCCCTTTTGTGGGGCATTGAATCCTCATTACTGTTGTTTATGGCTTAAGGGCGTAGGTCCCCTAGTTGATAAGCATATTAGCATACACATGTTTTTAATAGCAGTCACGCAAAACAAACACTGGCAAGTTATAATTCAATAAATTCTGAGAATGTATTCTGTTATCTACATCTATTAGGAATAAATCACTGTCATATTAATTCCATAAATTGGGGTTAAAAAAATACATTCTAACGTTATGAGCGACAGTGAATGATAACCTTTCGTTCATAGCTGACATTTAAAATAAATGAAAATTTTCTGAGTGTAAACTTGTTTTGACTCACACGGTAGTGAGAATCAGCACAATGTAAGGTGCAACATGTAGAGTTATAGAGTACCACTAGTACATCGATTACCCTCTTCTAGCTAATTTGCACCTTTTTTGTTCAATGCTGCAACTTTCTTAGGCAGACTTCGTCCGGGATGCAAGCTTACACCAGTTGTGGTGCAAATTTGGACGCCAAGCAGTGGTTTAGGGGGGTATTGTTATTTTACCGTATCGGGATTAAAGTTTGAAGCTTCATTTCTTATTGTGCAGAGCCATTTGTTTATGTCGACATCACATGCAAACTATACCAACTGCTTCCATAGTACTGATTCACTCATCATTATTTTGTACGTTTGTGCCATAATCCTGAAATTTACAGGTGCTTTCAATGTTATCTGTCCATTTTTGTACATACATTTATTATCCTTACGTTAATCATAGTCTTACCCATGACGTTTCTTGTGATTATAAGTAGTATGGATATATCCGTCTCAGTGTGCTATTATAATTATAATTTCCTGCCCATACCGCTATATATGTCTAAGCTTTGAATATACCTGCATGTAATAAATGTGTGATTAGCAGCATTTATTTTAAACTTTTAATACGTTATAGTCTTAACGATTCGAAATGTATTCATATTCTTCATCAATATCAATTCAAGTTCCAATAGTCCGTCTAAACTGCAAAGACCTAATACGTATAATATATATATGTAACAATCTTACTTTCAAACCGTTTGCTTTGTGTATTCATAGAGATAGATCCATGTGTTAATAACACGTGTGCAAATGGAACTTCCTGTTTTCCTGTGCCTAACTCTTTAAACTACACTTGTGCGTGTCCGATTGGATTATCGGGAGAACGCTGCGAAACAGGTCTGTATTACAAGCAGTAAACTAAAAAGCCATTTTCATGTTGACATATTCTTATTATTACTTTAACCTGGTTCATATATATTTCTTTACATGTTTCCCTCAACAACCTTCACATTTATACTGCATAATGTTCATGGTCAAACCAAAACCCACAATCTTGTCAGTTGTATTTTCAATAACAATCTTGAAATTCAAATATAAGTATTGACATTAGAAAGTTCCCCAACATCGACATAATAACATACTAAAAAAAAACAATGTTGCATTATAATTTTATATCTGAAAGCATTGTAAGCACAACTACCTTTGCAGTAGAATTTGTATATGTTATGAAGAAATCGGTAGATTGTCGAATCAATGAAAGTATAATTAAATCTGTTTTCGTCATGCTACGGTATATTTATACAAAATGATAGATTTACTATGTGCATGCATAATTCTTTGACTTATACGGCGAACTCGTTCACAATGCTTTCATTTTTTTCAGAGCAGCTGTCATATTGTGTCACACGTTTGAACAACTAGGATTGAACATTTTGTGACTAGTGAAAACAAATTATTTCTTCTTAATGTGAAGAACAGATATTCTATTTATAACTATTGCCAAATTTGATATGTTAATCCTAGTGGAACTAAGCTCGGTCTGTATCGTGTAAATTCGCAGAGGCGATAATGAGACATCAGTCCAAGTTCCTCCGATTTAACCCATTGCCTCTTGAACATGAGTGATCCCTGTAATCACATGCTATCATTTTCTCGTGATATGACTGCAATGATTCTAAGACGATCTTTCTGCTATGATACTCTTTGATACTGACATACAAAGATTGAGAAAGCTCCCAGAAAGTTGTACCATCTTTACAAGAATTAAATCTTCTATTTAATCTTTGCTTGTTGAATTTCCTAGCTGTTAGCCCATGTGTAGCGAGCTCTTGTGAGAACGGTGCAAATTGTACCGGTGCTCCCGGTCAAACGACATATACCTGCACCTGCCCAGCCGATTACACTGGGACCCTCTGTGAAACATGTAAGATATAATGACTTTATATATAATCACAAAGACTTTCGGGACAGAATCAACGCAAGGGCACTTTCGGAACCGTATTGCATATTCCACGTAAATCTTTTCGAGACGACGTAATAAGCCATTGCTGTGTTTCCAAAATTTCAGTAAAACTGTATAGGTATTTGCCATGCCTTCTTTATGGAATATTACCATATTTCCTATGTTCTTTTACGTTATTATAACGTAAAAGAACATTATAATAGTGATAAATGTTCAAAATAAAAGTAGCATGAAATACATATTTTTGTTGTTCGTTTCAGAGATAATATTCTCATTTGCCCAAGTACAGTAATGGCAGAGCTTATACGACCCTGGTCTCAACTCATACCTAACCCTAACCCTAATCCAAAATCTAAACCAAACCTAAAACTCAATCGCGAGCCCAACCAAATAGTTTTTGTCTTTGTCGCCGGAGCAAATAACGGATCCACAATGACCGTGTATAATAAGGAAATACATGTTTGCTTCTCTTTTAATCTGTAAGGGGACTACCAATGTGATGATCCGACTTCACTACATTACGCCCCGTGTTGATCATTCCTGGATACACCATTGCATAATGTTTCATCCTTTTGATCTTTCTTACAGCCCTTGCAACCACTCCAGCTCCTGTGCCAACAACGCCCGGAGATGGACAGAAACTAACCCACAACATATTCATTGTGGCAACCGCAATTTGCGTTTTCCTCATGAATGTTATGACCATGTGATTAGGCAGTAACGTATGCCAAAGTGACAATAATTTGAAGTTTTAAAGGGTTGTTTAGGAAACAAAGTAGACTCAATTTGTGGTGTTTTATGGAGAAACTCGTTTAGATACCATATCAGCTGTTAAGAGCTAGAAGGGCGTTAGCTCCGTATACAACTATATGAGTTATTCCTTTTTGGCCCTCAACAGAAGATATGTGTTCATGTGTTTCTAACTGTTTATAAAATAGAGATATTAAATCGTGTCGTACAAAAAAAAATGAACACATGTATAAGCTTAGTCAGTACATAAGTAGTTTGTAAGAAATTCTTAGAATATAGTCCATACACGTCGAGGATTGTGTTATCTTTAGTTTCTGTCAACATGCAAATAAACACTGACATTCAAAAGCTCACTTTGTATGTAAATGATGTGCTTATTGCATGCTGTCTTGCTACTGTAAATATTACAAATACCCTGTACTTTTCATGTATTTTCTTTGCTAGGGTTGTTAATGCCTACTTGTTTAATTAATCCCATGTTATTTCAGATGGAGCCAACTTTGAATGGTGATGCTTACTCGATTCTATTACCTGTACATTATACGTGTGTGTTTAAAGCGTAGATTATAGCACTTCCTCTTTGGAACATAAGCTGAGCACGTACGAGGCCTTATTTTGATTTGAAGAAAGAAAACAAATCATCTTTGAAATAAATGCTTTTCCCAATATTATTTGGATAGTTTAGGGTATCAGAAAATCCGACCAGAATTTCAAATGATTGAATATAAGTTAATTAACGTTGGAACATATTTGTTATCCCACGTGATCATTCAGTTCCATATTCCTATAAATATGTGATAGTGATTTGTATTGTTTGTAAATTGCGAGCCACATAATAGTTAAATTGTTATTGCTTGGGTGGTTAAAAAAAACTTACAATACAAAATGATTTATATTCACAATCAAATCAACAATTCTGATATCATCCAGACAGTTCCAATCACAATGTCATCATGCTGATTACAAGGTTAGTAAGTTATCCTTCAAGCTGTAAGCCTTCTCATTGTGTATTTTCTAATTCTAATATCTTAGTTTTGCAGTAGTCTATCATGAACTACGTTTTCTTTCGTGAATAAATGCCTACACTTTTATTAACAACTAGGTCATTGTTTTACCATTACATTTAAATATTTCAAATTAAAAGTTTTCAATTATTAATCAAAAACATTTGCTCTTTCATTATATCGAGTATATATTATCTGAATGTATGGTATTATTAAAGTTAGTTTATATATTATTGCGTATATGTTAAAATCTTCACCGTTAATGTTAACCTCATGCTTGTAACATCTGTGAGTTTTCCTCTCTAATAATAAAGTTATTCAAGAGCAAAAGTGATCGGTATTATATTTTTATATCTGTGAAACAAAAACAAATATATAAGGATAAGTCCATTATATATATATATATATATATATATATATATATATATATAATATAAACAATATATTATAAACATGAGATATAAGAATAGTTATATTGATCAGACAGACAGTACGACAAAAAAACTTCTTTCCTCCTCTCTTTTCATTTTGATAAACATATAATTGTTAGTAATTTCTTTTTAAAGCAAGTTGGCGGTTTGTTTGTATTCTCGAGACTGTAAGTACATTATATTTTCAACACATTGTCGTATCTGTATATTTTATCAAAACGATCATAAGTACATTAACAATATTACAAGTACAACAGGAGGTCAACATGGTATACTGGCATTGGTTCTGGAACATTGGAGACTTCTTTTTTTATCATGGTCAGGCGCCAGTGCGTTTACATAACTGTCCTGTTCACAGGTTTGGTTGTGCTATCAGGCCGAAAAAAATTGAGAAATATGACCCCTTAATAAGATTTGATTTTTTTTTAAATAATACTCCCGGCAACACGAACATTCAAATTAGCAGCCATCAACACTAAACCACAATGCCCCTTTAGACATGTTCTGAACGGTGTGCGGAGTCCCTTGGCTATGAACTGTTTGTGTGAATCATTCATGAAAACACACACCAACCTTTCATAAACAATTCACATTACAAACAAAAAAACAGTTCGCCCCCCCCCCCCTCTTCATATCCCTAGATTTTTATGAATATAGTGTAAGGTTGCGTTTAAGCTACCGTCTCATCTTACGAGCATTCAGGGGCGTAGCCACGGGACAGGGATTGGGGGCACGTCCCCCAATCAAGTGTCATAAAGAAGAGTGAGATAGAAGGAGAGAGAGAGAGAAAGATAGAGAAAGAAAGATAGAGAGAAAGGGAGAGTAAGACAGAGAGAGAGAGAGAAAAGGGAGAGTAAGAGAGAGAGAAAAGGGGAGAGTAAGAGAGAGAGAGAGAGTAAGAGAGTAAGTGAGAGAGAGAGAGAAGGGGCGTGAGGGGAGAAAGGTGAACTGTAAGAAAAGGCTACGACCCCTTCCAAACCTCCGCATACATGCCCTGTTATATTGTACTGTTTTTTTAAGTAAGAGCCGCCAATCAATGTCTAGACACACCCTACGCCATTGCCCTCATCTGTAAAGCCCATCCTGTCTATTCAATAAAATGAATGTGTGTATGTATACCAATTTTCACCCTCATCCGGCCATCACTGTTCATTTTTATGAATGGTTGGTTTTGTATTAATGGGGGATAATCTTGATTATAGGTGATACCCCTTTTGTAAAGTTTATTTCTTCAAGTTTTATTTGTTTTAGAGGGTAGGTAGTAGGTACATCCAGTAAAAAAAAAAAAAAAAAAAAAAATGCTTTCCATGTACGCCCAAAAGGTTCTAGTTCAATTTAAGAATGGTAGCGTCGAAACTAAAAGAATGTTGTGATCATATACTAAGAAATAAGAGTGCAATTGGGGGGGGGGGGCAGATTTTCACCCACATAGGCCCTATGCGTATTTTGCAGAGGGTGATGATCTGCTCTTTTAAGGCTGCAGTATCTGACAAGCGGCGTAAATGTGCACCCTTAGGCTAACAAAAAAAATCATTTGGTTGTCCTCGATTGATTTTCTTGAGTAGGGGCGGGCGGGCGGATTTTTTTTGTCCATAAAGAATTAAAAAATAATTGAGATGTCAAGCATTTCAACATATAAAGTCAATAAAATACTGTAATATGGTAGAAGACTAGTTTAATATCATCTTGTTTAACATATGTACAATGAATATCAACTTCATTGCCAAGCAAAACAGCGCTACGGGTGCGTGCATGCGTTCAAGTGCGAGTTTGCAAGGTTAAAAATATATACGTCAAAATATTAGTAAACCCAATTTCCTCGTGCTGAATGCAGCAAACATTGCTTTAAATAATATTTAAATCAATATTAATGATGTTGTTGTGAAATAATTTCGGAAAATATCAAACATAAGTTTTATTTTAATATTTTCTCACGCTACTTTCTTAGTGTTAATATAACATTCATTGCGTGTGCAGTGCATTTTTATTTAGTAATTTTAGTTTTTGTAGTTTCATCGGGTACGAAGTCTATACAATGGAAAGTTTGTAAGACAGAATTGCTTTCAAAAAAGACCAAACTGGCAACGGGAAGCATTTTGATCATTGCAAAATGCATGAAATGAAATGTTTGGCGTCTAAAATTGCTCCTCCAAAAAAAATTAACAAACAAAAGAAAATGACGAGCGGGCGGTCGAGGACAACCAAATATATATATTTTTTTTTTGGGGGGGGAGGGGGGGTTATGGGTGCGATAAATTGGAGGGTGCGCATTATGCACCCGGCGTAGTCTGTTTCAAGGCTAATGATAAAATATCTTCAACTTTGTGTCGATATTCGAAGAACAAGATTAAACATGTTCAAAGATAAAAGTTTCTTTCTCTTTTTCATAATATAATCATACAAAAAGCAATGGGCTCAATATCATTTGAAACAGATTGAAGTCAGGACATCTTCTATACAGACTATCAATCTCTGTCGGGGTTAGGGTTAGGGTTATACCAATCATGCAACCCCATCTTTCATCAACCCATCGTTGGCTCAATCGGTAAAGTCAGCATACGAGTAGTGGGCTCGAAACCCAGTAAATATTCTTTCCTACCTTTGCCTTTATAAATAGTGAGGCAAAGCAAAAAATAATACAAGTCTTATTGGTTGTGACCTCTTTCCGATCTGCTTTGATTAATTAACATGATGGCTTGCCTAGGTTAAACAATGACGCAGGCGGACTTGACGTGTACACCTAAGGGCGCACATCTGCTCCCTCTAGGGGGCAAGTTTGCACCCCGAATTATGGTGCTGTTTTTTTAGCAAATGTCTGCACCCAACTTTAGGGTTCTGCTATTGTAGCAGAGGTCTGGTACAAATTGGTACCTTTCTTTGTTAGTGTGTAGGGTGGCTTTGACTGCGTAGCAATTCAAGAGTGTGGTTGGCAGCTCAAGCCCCCCCCCCCCCCTCCCACCCCTTCTACTTCAAAATATAATTTTCTTAATGAATGATCTTAAGCGAGACCACAATAGAAAAATAAGTTCAAGAAAACAAATCTTCTAGGACCGCTTCTGCTTTGCCTATTTTATTTTATTTACTTCACGTACTTGAAATACATCAACGAAACGGGGAACTCCTAATATCCGGTCTTTAAACTGAACTAGGACCCTGCAACAACTGTTGTCTGAAGGCCCATGAGATTCATATGTCGGTCCGTGCCATGTCTGTCTTGTGGCCCATCGGTCAATTAGTACTAGGCCTACTGAGAAATTGAATGAGCCCTCAGAAAAGTCATCAAACGGACTGTCGGTTTAGTGGGATAGCGGTCTCGTGGGTTGCAACCCAAAGCTGACCTTTGCGGCTCTATACATGACCGTGCTTTTCTTAAGAACCCATTTCAGACAGAAACAACGGATCCTCGTATCTTCTACACTGGAGAGTATACTCGCATCTAACAATAGAAATGCTAGTACTTTAGAAACCATCTTGGTAACCATCGAGAGAGACAATTTGGGTAAGAGGCCTTGTCCAGGGATGCAAACACTGAGCAAGGATCGACTCTACGACCTCCAATACAAGAATCAAAAGCCTCCCTCTAATTAGCATTACAAATGTGGTTACTATCAAACTGCTTGATTTTTGTAGAACTCTCATTGTCTAGTATCTATTTCCAAGTCTTATTATACTGCATAATGCTGCCAGGAGCTTTCATTGGCTATAAAAACTGTAGACAAGTGTACAATACGGTCACTGCCTTTCTCCCTCGGGCATACCCGCATAGTATTTACAGTTATTCATATCTGAATAAATATGATCAATGCCCAAAATATGAAGCAGACAATACATAAGGGTTGAGAAAGAAAAAAAAAAGAGTTCCGTGCCAGGCCGATCCCACAGCTTAGTTCAGTTCGGTATGAACACTAAAGCATAAAGGAGTGTACACTCATGTATTTGCGGAAGTAACGGAATGAGCAAACACTATTTTGGCAGAGGACCAGTCAATTCTAGACTTAACTTGAACCACTCCTGGTGGACTCTTTCAAACCATTTTTTGATTAATTTGTGGAACACTCAAAGAAGGTTCATATAGCGACTGGAATAGATTTATTCAACTGGTCTTGATTATAGTTTAAGCCTTATACAGGTGTTGCTCTTCAAAGATTTTTGAGATTCATACAAGAACAATCACTACGAATGAAGTAATATTCAGATTACTTGTGTATCCATCCTGGAGGGAAGAGAAAGACGATAAAGATGGCGGGAAACGTGATGACACTTCTATCATTTATGATCGGAATATATTCCTTTCTCGTCTTATGTCAGGTTCAAAACAGCAACGCGTACCCAACGGGAGTTGTTACATCGGCCTGTGGTGATATGACACCGAATCATGGACCCAGTTCTCAGACGTCGGTCAGTCCCTACACCATCTCCGTGAGTCCTGCATTCTACCAACCAGGAGAGCAGATGACTGGTAATTTCTCTTTGCCTCACGTCACTTTAAAGCTCCACTGCACTACTTAAAGCTACTTGCGCTCGCTATATAGCACACAATGCCTAATTAATCGGTGACCATTGGTCCCCCATGATCCCCTTTTTTCTTATGTTAATTGTCAGCTGATTTGATGAGATAATCACCTATTGTTGACCTTGGTGGGAGGTCTAAACTAGTACAGATGGGCTTAAACGACAAATTCATACCACTCTGTCCCATTCGTATTACCGACCACTTCTAATACCTTAGTACAATCAAACTTGTCTATAGAGGCCACCGAAGCCAATAAGTTAAGTGGTCAATGTATACAAGTGGCCTTTCTAAACATATTCTGTAACCCAAATTCTTTCTTAAGGGATACAAAATACATGGTCACTACAGACAGAAGATATAATATAGAGGTGGCCAGTGAGATATATTTGTATATCTGATCATTACATTGATTTAAATACTATACTAGAGCTCAAATCAGACCAAATGACGATGCCGTTGATAACGATGATGATGACGACAACGATTATACTGATTTTTGTTAACTGACTGCAAAGAAAGCAAGGACATATTTTGTACGTAAGCAACCAGTGGACGATCAATTTGATGCCAATTGGATATTCCCAAAATTATAGGAGGAGAGAGATGACGATCAGAGAAATAAACTGTTGTGTAATGAGACACGAAATAAACTGTTGCGTAATTAGAAACGAAATAAACTGTTGTGTAATTAGAAACATTTTGTTGAGCGTCAATCGTGGAAGTTATTATGTCCTGTATACTATAATAAGTACTTGGGTTGCTTCCTCTGTATGATAGATCGAATATTGAAATCGATATTCAAATTCATATTGACGTCCTTCTTAAAGGCATCGTTTAACAATGTTAAATCTGAGATGCATGGTTCTACGTGGTATCAATGTCTGTAATATGGAATAAAATTGTAGTTCCTAAACAAAATCTTTAAGTGACCGGTTTTTCCATAATCATGTTCTCTAATAGACTGTAGTGTTATTGAAAACTGTTAGGAACGAAAAAAAAAATTCGATTTCCGATCATAAATATCTTGATAACTAGACAGGCGATCGGCTTGTAAACGTCATGGGGTTCCTGACTGACGTAAAGGTTCATAATTATGATTGCAGCATGAGCTCAATCCAGGATTTTCTGTCAGAATCTGAGACAAAGTTACCCAATCCCTTTAAGATGAAACAACCAATATAAAGTGATCATGAATACGGTAAACATTGCAAAATATACGGAGATGAAAATCTCTTGAAGTATTCATACCACATGGTCACCGTTAGAGTATATGGCAGTTACTTACACAAAGGCTTTCGTAATCTACCAGTTCCACATTTCTTTCCAGGGTACGGAGTGGCAAATGTAGATGAATTCCTTGCCAAAGGACATTAGAGCCGTCTCGGCGATCGAACCCACGACCTTTGCATTTGACGTCAAGCGCTTGACCCACTCAACTACGATTTTGTAATATGCTGTTCATGGATCTTAGTGAAATTGTTATCAAATTTAGTAAGATCTTGTAGAATTGTAGACATTTTGCTTTTGTGGCATTTAGAAAAAAAATCAAAATGAGTAAACACGCACTTTCGGTAATTAGTCTGCTCAATGATTTCTTATGAAATATATGAGGAGATATTATTTGTTTCCTGATCTGTTCAGATTCGATTTCTGATTCGCCTCTAATGTAAAGTCTACATCATATATTAGTATTACTATTAATGCATATCTGTAACATTGGTGTCTTTCAAACTCACCACGTTGTCTGAAAACATGTTCTTAAATATAAATGCAAATAAGGAAACCACATCAGAAGATGTAAGCATTCAATAGGAAGCTTTGTTAATGCCGCACACTGTTGATATATTTAACTTAATGCATGTTAATGTGAAATACAACAATGATAATGTGTTTTGATCCCTTCACGAAATCTCACCAGACCAAGCCTGTAAACCGTTCACATTAAAAATATAAAATAAGGATATAGAATTCATGAGACAAAACTAAATTGGCATGTTGGCATGCACCTACACACACAACTACTTACTGAACTACTTAGTATATCAACGTTGTGATTATTTAAGAACTTCAAGGTGGGAGAATTATTTTAAACCACTTTAAACAAAAAATCTGCATCACATGAATTCATTAAAACAATATATATGTATTCGTGTAGCATTAGTTAATGGTCGATCACACCGAGAAAAGAGGATCAAACGCATTTTCTAGACAAGTATCGGACATATTTTCCACCGAGTCTTCTCTTGAGGGGGCAAGAAACATTTCCAAAGCTTTTCAATGTCTAGTTTATTCGCTTCGTCGATCTTGTTCAGTACCTATCACGCACACACCACACCAACATTTGCCATATGAATTGCGTCTCGAGCGTCTATGTGAACGGGATGTTTTTGTACCTCCCTCGTCGCGTATCATTAATGTATGTCTTTCAGACAGAAATACAACAACCTAGATTTCAATAATAGAAAGCAAATAATCCTTTTTGTCATGACGATTGGCGAAGTCATTGAGCCGTGCTCTTTGGCCTATTCAAGACTAAGACTGTTTGATTGTGTTGTAGAGGGGAATAATTATGTGTTGTGAGGTTTCAAATTCATCGAATATCATAGACAATTTCCAGACTAAATCGAACAGGAAATTACTTTAAACCAAATATAAGTACATGGGACTAAAAAAAAAGCCTGTGATGTCAAACTTTAGTCTAGGATTGTAAAATCCTTCTGGTTTTATCGGGGAAAATGGGAGCACCTCGAGAATAATCATGTAATTGAGATATGCTAGAAAGCTTAAAGGGCCCATGGCATCGAAATACAAGTGTATTCCTGTTGATGTGCAGTCCTGCATACATCTCATATTTTGATATCTAAACTTCTGATTTTGTTTCATAGATTTTTAAATATTTTTTTAAACATTTGTTTTTCAAACTTGCTAAGCTCCACCCCCAAAAACCTCCATATCTCGTTCCCCTTGTGACATCATCTGTCAGTCATCAATGAGCTAAGTTGAGAAAGTGACATGTAACTTTGCCAAAATTGACCACCTGTTACAATACCACAAACAATAGCAACATATAAGTTGCTATGTCAGACATGTCAGAATAAACTAATGTTCTAGAAATGGTATGTAATTTCCCCCAGCTTAGCACACGTTCATAACAGAATTGCATGCTTCCATAGATATGTACAATACATCATCATTGCCTTTGTCTTCCTGGTGATGCTACAGCATGTCTGACATAGCAACTTGTATGTTGCTATTGTATTACGTGTCAGTATTATTTTCTTTTCAGTCACAATTTCGAGTAACGCCGGCTCCCCAGCTTTGAAGGGTATTCTGTTGCAAGCTCGTCTCACTGGCACCGATCAAATCATCGGTGTATGGTCGTTAGAGGGCACCACGGGTTTTCAAACGCTGGCGTGTAACGGTGTTAATTCGGCTGTAACGCATACTAGTAGTGATGACAAACCGGCTACTTTTCAATTGAACTGGACACCTCCTAATGTCAACGGAACTGATATCTATGTGACGTAAGTAGACCTACAATGCCATGCTTGCTTAAAGACTTTCGAAAAATCAACTCAAGGGCAATTTTAATACCCTTTGTCATGCCCCGTAGAACTCATGTTGCGATTACGTAACTAATATGTTCGCACATTTCATAATGGTGCTTTTTTCGAAATTAGTTGTGCCCTTGTTCGATGCGATATTTGGGCCACTGTTGAAGTTTTGAGATGGGTTTTACGCCATTTACACCAATGAGGCCGACACCAAACCGACAACAGACCGAACAAAACATGGAATTACTCCGTATCCAAGATTCCGTCGGTTTGGAGTAAGGGTGGAGTAGTAGGTTTGGAGATGTGAGTGAAGTACACTGTATTATTATATTGAGATCGACCACGAGGCAATTTTTGCCAGATAATTTGACATACGAGCAACATTTGTATGATCAAATAATGTACAACAGATGCCCCCTTCCGACAAGGCGCCGTAAAGTGCCTCAAACTACAAAATCAAAATATCACTCGCTTCAATAATAAACGGTAGTGCATCGGAATGACCATTTTCCTTGTGTTGTATGGTAGTTCTTTTATTTGAATCATTAATGTATTTATAATCATGTTTATTGCATCTTCAAATATCTAAAATAACAGACACCCTTCATTTACTTATTAATGGAGATGAATGTCGAGAGCCTTATATTTTCACATGAGATGGTTTGTTTTCTTTTATTCATCTGCACTATTAGGGCAACATTTGTCCAGACAAGGCCAGTCTTTTGGGTTGCAGAGAGGACAAGCGATATTCAAGGTAAAGCCCCAGTCCCATATAAAGCCGGACCAGCACGGACGAGCACGGACCACTCCGGACCATCCCGGACCATGGTCTGGGGTGATCCGGGATGGTCCGGGATGTTTTGTTCAAAAAAGTGTGATGCTTTAAAAGCTACAGTCCCATATACGTCCCGGACCGTCCCGGACCATCCCGGACCCCATCCGGGGTGATCCGGGATTCGGTCCGTGTTGACACCGTGTTGGCACCGGGGTGGTCCTGGATGGTCCTGGATGGTCCTGGATGGTCCTGGGCGGTCAATAACTCACTCCCGGACTGCCACGGATCAACACGGACCGCCCCGGCGCCACTACGGATGACCCCGGACCCAGCACGGTGGCTACACGGATCACCCCGGATCAAACTATTGTCCCGGACCGTCCCGGACCACCCCGGCAGTTTTTGACCGTCAAAAACATCCGGGGTCGACTCCCGGACCGCCCAGGACCATCCAGGACCATCCAGGACCACCCCGGTGCCAACACGGTGTCAATACGGACCGTAGCTTAAAGCTACAGTCCCATATACGTCCCGGACCGTCCCGGACCATCCCGGACCCCATCCGGGGTGATCCGGGATTCGGTCCGTGTTGACACCGTGTTGGCACCGGGGTGGTCCTGGATGGTCCTGGATGGTCCTGGATGGTCCTGGATGGTCCTGGGCGGTCCGGGAGTCGACCCCGGATGTTTTTGACGGTCAAAAACTGCCGGGGTGGTCCGGGACGGTCCGGGACAATAGTTTGATCCGGGGTGATCCGTGTAGCCACCGTGCTGGGTCCGGGGTCATCCGTAGTGGCGCCGGGGCGGTCCGTGTTGATCCGTGGCAGTCCGGGAGTGAGTTATTGACCGCCCAGGACCATCCAGGACCATCCAGGACCACCCCGGTGCCAACACGGTGTCAACACGGACCGAATCCCGGATCACCCCGGATGGGGTCCGGGATGGTCCGGGACGGTCCGGGACGTATATGGGACTGTAGCTTAAAAGCATCACACTTTTTTTAACAAAACATCCCGGACCATCCCGGATCACCCCAGACCATGGTCCGGGATGGTCCGGAGTGGTCCGTGCTCGTCCGTGCTGGTCCGGCTTTATATGGGACTGGGGCTTAAGTCATGTTTCATGTCATGAATTTAAAAATCGCAATTCGCTGAAATGTTAGAAGATCCTGTATGATGTATGTATGGTTTTGAAATTGATCGTAGGTGTCTACCTGTCTTTGTGTTTCCTCCAAAAATAATTGTCAAACTAATTCTCTGTTTCTTTGTGGTAAAAACAAATGTACGTCCCTTGTATGTTTCACAAATTAGCATTTTCTTGTGACTAGACATATTATTTTGTAGTAGAACGAAGAGAAATCGTTAGCACAAATTATCTATTAAAGCTTGGTGCCTTACGTACCCCTTATCGTACGAATCATTCACTGCATAACCTAGAAAGAAAATGTAGAAATACTATTTCGCTAATATCCTCTCATATAATATATGTTGTAGCACTTACTTTAATCCCACCAACGAGTAATTTTGATAAAGTTGGTACATTCTTGGCATACAGGGGCGTCACTAGCCGAAGGGGGAGGGGGGGGGGGGCATTTTCGAACAAAGTTCCGAATTTTTTAAGAAAAAAGAATGCCGACAACTGGTCGTCAGATTTCCTCATTAAACAGTAACGACATCTACAATGCAACAAATTGTTGTGATTTACTGACAGAACATAAAAGTCGAACATTTGCCTAAATAAAATCTTCGAAGGAGGTATCACTCTTCCCCTTCTATTGACGCCCCTGGTAGCATATTAAATAACCTAGTGCAGCCGCAAGAAAATAGGCAAATATACATCTTTTTCTCTATAGTTATTAATGTAGATATCTTATTTGTTTTTTTACTTTTAGTTCGAAAACACATTTCATTGATCACAACATGTACTAATATATGTTATTAATGAATTAATATTTGTGTGCATGTTTTGTTTTATGGTTTAAACTGATTTGTAATCCTGAGAACTGAAAAGTAGACCAAGCCTTTGCTACTCAGTGTTATTTGTTTGGTAATTCCATTTGTTTATGTCTGCTTCTGTCTCGCTAACAATGTTACTGTTCTTATACTTTTTGTTTCTCTCTCTCTCTCTCTATGCATGGCGTGTGTGTACATGCACCTTTTTAACATACTTGTACTCTGATCAAAACAAAAATGTGCTGTATGCTAGACGCATGCAACACGAACGGTGGCAATCTATGTGGTGCTAATGGCAACTGTGAGAGTCTTGTAGGAGGTGGTATCAATTGCATCTGCGAGGAAGGATACACCGGAATCCTATGCACAAGTAATTCAATCTTATTTATATCCGTTAGTTTTAATTCAGTGGTACTCATAATGCCGATGTACATGAAGATACTTAATTTAAAATATAATTTGTAAAACTTTGATTAAACTTTGAAATGTTAAAGACAAATGTAAGACTGTTCGTGATGTCTCACATGAAGATGATATCGATGTTAAGAAACATGATGATGTTGATGATAACAAAATTGTCATCTGAAACACGATAGCCATCAACGGTTTACAATCAGTAGTGTTGTTTTAATATAATATGAATAACAGTTACTAGTAGATAATACACACAGCCATCGTTTTGCCCAGGACTAGGAAGCAGATCGAATTAAAAGACTACATGAATATATTCCATTCCATTTTCGACTTTGTTAAAGATAAGGAAGGATAAGCCTTTAAAAAAAATAAACAAATACACCTGATCATTGAAACGATGATCATAATGGAATAAGTCTCACATTTCTTTAAGAACATTCTAAAAGAATTTTAACTTGTATAGTCCCGGCCTTGCTTATCATATCAAGTATCAAGTACATTGTTTTAAAGTTCTCAGTTATGGTGTAACCGATTTATTCTTAGCTACACTTGAGAAAGAATAATTCGTTCAAGTTCCCTTCCGAATCAGCGTTCTTGTGAGCGATCAATTTCTCCGTGGTCCCTGCCTGCGTCCTCTTGAATATCATCCACTTTTATCATTACGTAATATTAATCTCTGGTATACATAATTGCCTATGTAGCGGGTCCTTGCGATTCGGGTCCGTGCGACAATGGAGGAACCTGTACTTACTCTGCTGGTGATACAACCTTCACATGCTCCTGTTCTTTCCCTTTTGGAGGAGCCACATGTCAGACAGGTAACTTGATGGCTGTCTAAACTATTTCTAAACTCTTACCTCAGTCACATCAACTAAACCGACACCAGACCCAAGATAGAATCATATTACCTCGATCGAATGGCCTGGAGTTCGTCAGTTTGGAGTCAGTCGGTTTGCAGTCGGAGCGGTGTCAGTTTGGCGGTGTAACTGAAATATAGCGCCTCTTTCTTTGATTTCACTTATCACCCAAATTACATAAACATTGCATTTCACCATGGCAATAACTATACACCGGGTAAATAGAGCCAACAAATAGCAAAAGCTAGTCAAGGTAAATAAAAACCAGTTTACATTTAAATGAATGGCAAAACAAAATCAGGTGCACGTAACATGTGTTGACAAGACGTTAGGGTAAAAATGTTGAATCTAGTGGAAACAGCGCACCGGAGGGTGCATATATGAAAGTTTTAGGGTCCAACTCGTACATATGTTACCCTCACAGTGCTTATTTGCACCTCTATTTGTTCTATACTGCATCCTTCTTAGGCAGACTTCGTCCGTGGTGCAAGCGTGCACCAATAGTGATGCAAATTTGGACACCAAGAAGTGTTTTTTAAACGGGGTACTGCCAGTATACCGTATCTGGATTAAAAGTGGAGGCTTCATGTTCTTATTGTGTAGAGCCATTTGTTTATTTCGACATACCATTCATACTGTAATCCATAGTGCTGATTCACTCATTATTTTGTACATTTTTGCCATAATCTAGTAATTTTACAGGTGCTTTCAATGTTAACTTTCCATTTTTGACATACATTTATAATCCTTATTTAAGAATATAACATTTATTTTCCCCCTCAGGAACAACAACGGGAACAACCCAAGGAACAACACCAGGGACAACCCCTCGAACCACTCCACGAACAACTCCAGGTAAGATCAAGCTTTGTCTGGGGTTTACAGATAGACATCCTATTATTTTCATAAAGATTGGTTTCTCTAAATTTACCGGGGGTAATGCCTCCGAGAGCAGCTTTAACAATTTTACAGACCTGATACATGTCACATCTAATGCCAAACAACATCTGATAACCACGTGAATTAAGCGCATAACTCTCGAATATAGGTGTATATTTTAATTTTTCCCTCGGTAACAACACCTGGCAAAACACCTGAAACAACATCAGGAACTACAACAGGTACTACACCAGGCACAACACTGGGTGAGGTCAAGCTTTGTTGAGGTTTAAAGCTAGACGCTTTCTCGAATTTCTAAACATTTGTGTTCTATGACTGTCATGTGGTTATTGCCCCTGTGAGCAGCTTTGACAATTTGTCAGGGCTGATATATGTCATTTCCAATACAAACATTAATTGATATTCACGTAAATAATGCGCAGAATTAGGGCAACGTTTGTGGAGACAATACCAGTCTTTTGGGTTGCAGAGAGGACAAGCAATATTCAACGTTAGTCACGTTTTACGTCCCGAATTTAAAACCGCAATTCGCAGAATTCGTAGAAGATCCTGTATCGAATTTAAAAATGCTCAATTAGGAAGCGATAATTCAACACGCAATTTGAGTTTTATCGTTTAAAAACAATCGTAGGGTGTAAACTTATTTTTGTGTTTCCTTCAAAATTTATTGTCAAACTAACTCTCTGGTTCTTTGTGGTAAAACAGATCTACGTCTATGAGCATGTTCTTGTGACTAGACAAATTGTGTTGTAGAAGAAAAGAAAGAAAAAAAATCTTCAGCACAAATTAACTAAGCTTGGTGCCTTACATGTACGTACCCGTTTATTATGCGAAGCAAATGTAAAAAGATATTGTATGAATCACTCACTGTATAACCTAGAAAGGTAATATAGAATACTATTTCGCTAATTTCCTCTCATAGAATTGTTGTAGTACTTACTTTAATCCAACCAACGAGTAATTTTGATAGAGTTTAGTACATTCTTGGCACACTGAGGCGTCCCTAGCCGAAGGGAAGGGGGGGGGGGGGGGAGGGGGTAAATTTTGAACAAAGTTCTAAATTTTCCAAGAAAAAAAATGCCGACAAGGCCAATCTTTTTTATTGAATAGAGGACAAGCAATATACAACGTAAGTCATGTTTTATGTCCTGAATTTAAAACCACGCATCGCAGAAACGTTAGAAATCACGTATTTATGAAATTAAAAATTGCTCAATTAGGAAGCAGTAGTTCAAAGAGCATTTGATTTTTATGGTTTGAAATTAATCATAAGTGTTTTTCTGTTATTGTGTTTCCTTATAACTGTAAGGAAATAGTATTTCGTTTAAGAAAAAAGAAGAAAACTAATTCTCTGCTTCTTTGAGGTAAAAAAAAATTACGTCCCTTGCATGTTCCATTTTCTGACAAGACAAATCAACTAAGTTTGGTGCCATACGCACCCACGTATTATGGGAAGAGAGTCTAAAATGATATTGCACGAATTATCACCAATCACTCACTGTATAGCCTAGAAAAGAAATGTAGAAATAATATTTTGCTCATCATGTTTTATATTGTTGTAGCACTTGCTTTACTGCCACCAACCAGTAATTTTGATAAAGATTGTTTGCAAGAAACAAAAGAGCCGACAATTGGTCGTCAGATTTCTAGATTCATCGACAGATGTTCAAATTTAATTAATGAAGCAATACCGAATTGTAAAATGCCACTTTTTTGTGATCAATCGACAGGACATAAACAAATTTAGAAAGTGTCAAAGTAAAATATTTAAAGGGGTATCACCCTTCCACTCCTATTAACGTTCCTGGTGGCATATAACATTAACCTAGTGCAGCCGCCAAAAAATTGCAAATGTAAATGATAATTCTATAATAATTGATGTAGATATCTAATTTGTTTCATATTTTTTGTTCGAATAACAAAATTCATAAACCACAACAGTAACAAATATTTCGTTAGGGTTAGGGTTAATATATTTGTTTTGTACATAACATATTTATTGTTTTATCATCTTCATAGATTTGTAATCTTTGGAACTGAAAAATAGACTGGCATATGGCGCAACCATTTGCTTCTCTGTTTAATTTGTTTAGTAATTCTGTTCCATATGATCAAAATGAGAAATCACGATTTACCTCCATTTTGTCTTGGCGAACAAAGCCTTAGGTCCATGTGATACCAATAGCTGTTTTTATATAAGGCTTTCAATCATTACCTTCGTATATGTCTAACCTTGTAGAAATAAACCCTTGTGATAACAATACCTGTCAAAATGGCGCTTCATGTAACGCTGTAGTCGGCTCTTTCACTAACTACACTTGTGAATGTCCAACTGGATTCATCGGAGAAATTTGTGAAATGGGTTCGTATAAAACATTTTAATTCTGTATAAACTTATTTTACATGGAGTTGAGCTTCACTCATTGTTTTGTTTCCTCAAAATGATATTATGTTATCGTCTGGTTAATCTCTAGTTATACCATGTGAGTCCAAAAAAAAGTTTACACCTAGAAAATTGCTAATTATTATAAAAATCATCTATGAAAAGTAAATCATTTGTTATGAAAGAGTGTTTTTTCCCCAATAATTTGGTATCACATTTGTGTGGTGTGTGTTCACGCTTGGATGAACAGTCGGTATTGTTTCCGAGAGTGCAAAAATGGACTTGCGCCAAAGTTGCTGAAGTGAAGTTTGATCCGTTCAAATTTTTATATACACGCTAAGCCTTGTTGATCGGGTGGTAATGTCTTTTTTCATGACCGTGTTAAATGGGGGTGGGAGGAAGGAGGGGCGGCTGATGTACCATTTAAAGACCAACCAAAAAGTCCAGAGAAATTGCGCCCTGTTGTGAGTGACAAACTCAAACCAAGCCACTCTGTGTAAAGATGGCTCTGAGAACCCCATGTTTAAGGCTCGTTCAGACACACTCCCTTCACCTCCCCCCTCCTCGCCGTGGTTATTTATTTTTTTTTTACTTTTGAAAAGAATGACAATTGACGATGGAACCCAAATGAGGCGCGTATTCACTGAACTCTGTGTTATTATTAAAGACCAGAAGGTAAAACGTTACCAAAAATCGACTTGCGCAAAAATAATAAAGTGAGAGAATGAATTGAATGTATCAAATGAGATGCATTGCATATGTTTTTTGCTAAACACACACACGCACAAATGTTCTTTGATTTTAATATGAGATATGTGTGGCATGATTAAAGTTGTAAGAGATGTTATTTGGATCTGCAAAGACCAAATAAGTACCCAAATCCCAATCGTTTTATTCAACATCACACAAGCAACTTTGACGCAAGTCGATTTTTACACTCCCGCAAACAATGCCTCCTGTTCATCCATGCGTGAACACAAACCACACAAAAATGATACTAAATGATTTGGGATAAAACACTCTTTCATAAGATGTATAATAATTTACTGTTCATAGATGGTTCTTAGAATAATTAGCAATTTTCTAGGTGTAAACTTTTTTTTTTTTTTTACCCACAATGTATATCATTATATTGATTTCATTCCCCGATATATGTCCTACATGTTTATGCATGCTTGATGACAACCCACTGTTGTGCATATAAGAAAGGACCATTGTCTTCATATTTCATGAAACTGTATTTGATAATAATCTTGTTCAGACGGAGGCAAGTTACCCTGGTAAAGGTCTTGTGAAGAGCTAGTCGGGGTAAATATAATGAGGTAGGTGTAAATGTCGGAGTAGTGACCGTCTTAACGATAACCGTGTTAGCTACGCGTACCTTTACTCCTTCATATTTACTTCTGGATTTTTCCAACTTTCCAACTTTTTCCAACTTGGCTTCACTGGGTCACAACATGGCGGATAAATTTTGTGTTGTGCTTGTCCAACAAAGCAGTAGTCGCCATATTGTGTCCAACTCGAACAGGGTTAGCCAAACTCTGTGTAAAGATGGCTCTGCGTAAGTTACGCTGTTCGGTGGAAGGTCGTGTTAACTTTATTACTACTACTACTACTAATACTACTACTACTACTACTAATACTACTATTACTACTTCTATTACTACTACTACCAATACTACTACTACTACTACTACTACTACTACTACTACTACAACTACAACTACTTCTACTACTGCTGCTACTTCTACTATACATACTACTACTCCTACCACTACTCAGGCGCACCGGAAGCAGTTTAGGATGGGGGGGTGAACAAACATTCCAGGGGGCTCACCTTCCAGGGGCAGTGTCGTAATGAACAAAAACGTTTGGTAGGGTGGGGCAGAAGAAAAATTTGCATCACCACCACTCTTACACATTACATGCAGGCCCCGGGGAACGTTTTTCAAAGAGGAGTATTAACGATCAGGTAGAGCGTAAATTGACGTGGCGTCCAGGGCCTGAGCCCCGACAGGGCGTCAAGGGGCTGAGCCGCGGAAGCTCAGGGTATTTAGGCATATTACGGTCAGATAAGCATATTTAGATACCTTGTTTGTGACACTGGCAGGTCACTAATTGGCGGGGAGTCCAAGGTGTAGAGCCCCCGGAAGCTCATGGGTTTTTAGGTTCGGTTAGATAAGCATCCAGGGGCTCTCTTTAAGGCCATTGATGTGGTGCAGAGGGCAAAGCCCCCGGAAACTCAGAGGATTGAGATATTAATAATTACGGTCAGATGAGCATCCAGGGGACCGCCTTAGGGCCCTTGGTGGGGTCCGGGTGCGGAGCCTCCGTAAGCTTTGGGTCTTAGGTATATAATTACGGTCAGATGAGCATATTTTGATACCTCTTTTGTGACATTGGCATGTCACTTATTTTTTCTCTCTCTCTTTCTTTCTTTTTCTCCGCTACATACTTTTTTTCAAAAAGTAAGGGGGCTCGAGCCTCTGAGCCCAGCTGTTCTACAGGCCCTGACAGAAAAGGCTTCTAAATAAACATATTTTGGCCGACTGTAAATTTGGAAATTTCTAATTTTCCAACAAACGCAAAAAATGGTTTGACTTACAAAAATGTTTAGAAAAAATACCGGAAAATCATGTCATTTCAGCAACATTTGTAAATCCTTTTGTGAATCCGTTCAAGTAAAATCTACATCCCTTGATTGAAAAGATTGAAAAGATTTTTTTGCCACCACAAAATTTTCAGCATGCTGAAAATTTGCCGACGGACGCGATTGTTAATTTCGGCCGTCTGCGGTCGCTAGCGGATTCGTCAGCGACAATTGAAGGCAACACACAGTGGTTGGCGGGAAATTCAATGTTGCAATTAGCTGCTTAACGTAGCTTGCGGTACCCCCCCCCCCCCCCCTATTCTTCATAGTGTGAGCCGGCCTTTACTCTTAGAATCGATTCGACTGACTGAAGTCTTCCTGTTGTTTGCAGCTTTTATAAACCTAATAGCTTGTAGTTAACGGTACGTAAACTCTGTTTCCAAATGCTATAGTTTTAGTTTACGTTAGATTTGTATTTCTTGTGATTTTAGTCTAACGTCTAAATCTCAGTAGCCTTTAAAGGTACTATGTCCCTTTTGCAGCCAACCTCAAACTCTGTAGAACTTTGCAGGAATTATGAATATATATATGGACATTTAAAGGTACCTTTAAAGGGCCACTCTAACCCAACTAACATAGCCCTTTAAAACATGAATACACCTCGACTTATTAATATTCCAGCCTCTGATCTTTTTAGGAAATCTCTAAATTGACCAAAAAAAGATAATAACCATTCATTTTTCACAGATCTCACGCTTGTTGGGCTACGCACCTCGAAAC